ATATATTTTTTAAATTGTCAGTGCAGTTAATTGGTGATCTGGGACATTCAGCCTGGACAAACTACTGTGCATTTTAGATACATGACAATCATTTTTTTAAATGTCTATTTTTTTTATTGAGAACATTTTTGTTGAATTAAAAAGTGTGTGTAATTTGGCTAGCTTTGACACATTATTTAAATTTTGTGGCAAGAAAATAAATAGTTTGGTGTCACCAGAGAAAAATGGGTAAATTCTTAGCATTAAGCCCTGAAAATTCCTTTCATTAATGAAATATGACACAATGAAAGCACAACCCATTTGCTCATGCATATTTAGCAAGGTCATACACACCACAGAAAAAAGTGAAATGAATGAGGAGGCATGTGGAGATAACACAAAAATCTAAATTAAGTAATTTTAGCATACCAAAGTCAATTATCTGCATATAAAATATGTGCTCCCAACAACAAAATTGTGAATAATGAAAATGCAGAGTGATTAGTAACAAACTACTAGCCACAGTGGCTCATGAGCGACAAAGTTAATGTCAAGCCCTGATAATCAAATATTACAAAAAAAAAAAAACGTAAAGGTAAACATCTAAATGTAATTTCAAAATAAAAGGGAATATGGTGTTAATAATGGTATATGATAATAGTGTTAATCCTACATTTAGGGCTCTTAAAGTATTTCAGAAAGCATTTAGTGATAAAACTAGCTCCTAAATAAGTGAAACATTAGGAATAGTGAATAGAACTCTAAATCACCAAGACCAAACAACATACGATCGAAAAGTGGCTGTTTGGCTTTTTGCTGTGGAAAAATACATTTTTTAAAAATTGGCCAGGATCAGAAATATGTTTTCAAAAATATTTCAAAATTTAGCAAAAATCAAAGGCACTTGAAATATGTGGAATAAATATCCAAAAGCCTTTATTGACATAGCCTTAATAGTCATCTCAATAAGGGCTTTTAAATAAATTGCTGTTTATTCTGATCAACCCTTACCCAAAGAGCACCAACACATTATTTAAGCTACCCCTACCCCTTCTGTTTGATTTTGAATTTTTATATTTCAAACTTTATTAAAAAAAGACCTACAAATATTTTCTCTAAAGTTATTTTTATGCAAATATATGTTCTATAAATAACATTTTTGACTTACATTTTCCAAAATATATGTTTAAAAAATGATTTAAAGCCTAAAATATCTATTTGCTTTATTTCATTTTTTATTGCTTTATTTTCTAAGAAACACAGTCATTTGTATAATTGGGAAAAATCTATATTTAATGTGTGATGAACACTTTTTAGGAATGCAATTATTTACTTATAGACCATTTTGATGGATTTAAACCAAAACAACGGTCCCAAGGTGTTTCCTGTTTTACATTTTGAATTTCTATAGCTTCCGAGAATCCAGAAAGAGCCACATGTTGATAAATAATGTTACGTAATCGCTATTTTAACATTAATTTATAATTGTATTAACTCTTGTTACAGTTATAAAATAGTTTGATAACAGCCAGAACATGTTGATGGGCCAGTGACATCATATTTACATGGTCTATAGCCTGTATTTTAAAAAGTAAATTTGAATGTGGCATTATTATTATAATAATAATAATAATTATTATTATTTTTTATTTTTTATTTATTTTATTTTTTTACTTTTAGTTGAATATGACATCATAATATTGGGTTCTACAGAGTTTCTATGAATTGATCTCTGACATCAGCCAATGATTGTGTGCAACCTTTACTCTCAACTTCACTGAAATTGATTATATTAGATTCAGCTGCTTTGTGAATAGCTTTAAGGTGAAATTGCTTAACTAAAAACCTGACCGCTATTTACAAGAACTATAGGAGATCAAATGTGTTGTGAAACTGTCAAAACATTTTTGATATGTTTTTTTTAAATAATGATATCTGTTTTAAAACCACACACTTTCTACTTACCAATTACACATTAAACAACCCATGTTTTAAACATATTCAAATGTAATAAAACAACCCATCTAATTTCTATTCCATGTCACGCAGCGAGGAACATGATGCCATCATTTAAAAATGGAGCCATCCAAGAAACCTTCATGATCTGAGGAGTTGGTTTTCATCATAATTCATATGCATATGAGGGGTGTGTTCCTGGTGTCTTCACACTGGTTTGACTTGATTTAATTGAACCAATTGAGGGTGTGATTGCTTTGTTAGCGCCACTCATTTAAATGTGTGAACTTCGCAATCCAAATGGTGCACAGACACTAATGAAATGTAGGTTTCGGTCCACTTCCAAATAAACTGTAATGCTGTTCAACAGACAATATGAATGCAGCAAGGACCAAACAAAACAAAACTTGGTGAAACAAAAACAGCAAATGATGTCATAAGATGTGACTATAAAAGTACAGAATGCTCAAAATTGTAGTTTTTTGCTGCAATTCTTGACGTGTGTGTAGCAGGATTTATCCTGACTCCTTTATTATTATCATTATTATTTTTAAGCTTTTCAACACATAAAAATAATATCTCAGGTCCACATATAGAAGTGAGTTTCACATAGTATACAGTACTGCTTTGGATGTTTAGTATGAAAATATACATCACAAAACTTTTTTTGAGGGGACCGACTGTGAAAAGAACACAATGTTTATACATATTTTTGTGTTTTGGTTTGGTTATTAAAGCTATTTTGACAGTTTCTAAGTAAAAGTTAATGTACTTGAAGGGATTTATTAAATTTTTTGTCTGTTTAGTCCAGATTTATAGTCCATGGGCTCTATTTTGATGATCCAGGTGCAAAGTCCAAAGCACAGGGTGCAGAAGCATTAAGGGTGTGTCAGAATCCACTTTTGCTATTTAAGGATGGAAAAATCCGCTTTGGATTTTCCATGGTCCATGAACGCTTCACAAGAGAGTAAACAGTTAAACAGAGCATCAGCGTGAGAATGAGAGATGAGCCTCCTCATTATTTACTTTCACTCTCGTGGATAGGGAAACGTGATGTATGCACAGAAATCCATTAGCCTATACATAATTAATTTTGTTTATTAAGCGCAAACATTTGTTTCAAAACTATTTCTAAATTCAGTTCTAATTTCCAGCAAATGAATAAATGAACAATAATAACGAAGTGTGGTCAAAAAACTGAGTTATTTCCAAAATACATATACTGTGCCCCATATGGTCTAAAACCTGACAGGTTTTAATCTAAGCTTGTTTTTAATAAAACAAATATAAATATGGATATAATAAATAATACTGCTAGTAATGATAACGATGATGGCATGAAGGCTGTTTTTCTTATATTTATGTAGGCTAGAAAGAAATAATTTTTGTAATGTTTTAATCCTTTAATTCATTTTCATTTGTAAAGATATTTGCGCATTTCTCTACATAATGCGTGTATTAGGCAATGTGTAAGCGAGGCGCACAACTAACACGCTCTGTGCTGGATTTTAGACCTCCTCTAAGCGAGGCTATTGAATAGACTATTTTAGTTTCTCAAAATAACAACGCGTCAGCAATGCGCCTTAACATGCCTCCTTTTTTAGAACAGAACACCTATGGGCGCACTTATGAGTGCAAATGCATTTGCTATTAAAACAACGTGGTGCAAAACGTTAAAATGACACCTGCGTCGTGCCTTGCGCCGGTTGTATGATAGAGCCCCATATTTTAACGATTGACTCAATATGTAAAACATGCACACTTAAAAGTCTTTTAACCTTTGTGTACTGTTTAAATTGACTATCTATTCGTGGCTCTTTTTGCTGTTTTTGACTTCCATGTTCCTATGACATTTTTTGATTGCAAAGCCATGACACCAAATAATCATGCAATCTTGACTGTTGGTGTTTTCTATTTCGGGAAGAGGTCAAACTTTTCATTATTTCTGTTGATGATAAGTTGGCAGCATTAACTCTTAAGATAGGCCTGTGCAAAAACGTTTGCTTTTTATATGGAGTAAAACAGCAGATGTGTCTGTGCTTAAATACACTATGTTTACTAATTTCTGAGAGTTGAGCTGCTTTATTCCCCCCAAAAAATATAGAAGTGCCCAATGGTCTCACTCTGTCACACGAACTATAATTCATATAACCATATAATTTTTGTCAAGAAACTAACCTTTATTTTTGCTCTGCAACTGATAATCAAGAGTAAAAATTGTAAATTTACCTCTTCCTAACAAGAAAAACCAGCAACATTAAAGAAAGCATGATTATAGGGTGTCAGAGATTTGCAATCAAAACTGTCATTATAATGGAAGTCAATGGAGCAAAAAGAGCTACAAACATAACAAAAGGCTAGTAAATTTGCCCAGAGTGCATTGTTGAAGGTGACATGGTGGTGCAGTGGGTAGCACTGTTGCCTCACAGCAAGAAGGCCGCTGGTTCAAGCCTCGGCTGGGTCATTTGGCATTTCTGTGTGGAGTTTGCATGTTATCCCTATGGGTTTCCTTTGGGTGCTCCAGTTTCCCCCACAATCCAAAGACGTAGTATAGGTGAATAGGGTAAGCTACATTGTCTGTAGTGTATGCGTGTGAATGAGAGTGAATGGGTGTTTCCCAGTGATGGGTTGCAGCTGGAAGGGTTACACAAGTGCTGGATAAGTTGGCGGTTCATTCCACTGTGGTGATCTCAGATTAATAAAGGGACTAAGCTGAAAAGAAAATGAATGAATAAATGTATTGTTAGTTTTTCTTGTAAATATCAAAGTATTTTTTCCTCTTAATAAGATTAGTCACCAAAAATTGTTCCATTTGCTGAAACAGAAAGTTGTGGACAAATTAAGACTTGATATCACCTCAGAGTCGATGAAAACAACAGCACATAAGGGTTAAAGAAATATGGGGACAATTACTATTTTGATTATCTATTGATTAGTTCTTTAGTTGTTGTAATGGTCCAATTAAGTATTTTTTTGCATAACAAACCTTATACAGACGTTCCTCACACACAAATTACAATAACTCTATAATACTGCTCGTTTATGAACAACCATCAGACAGTAAATACCAAAGTATATACTTTATTCCAGGCCAATTTTAAAGTAATATGTCAAGAGATATAATGTAACAGAACTTAAGGTTCTAAAGTACATGCACATACATTGATTAAAAAAAAGCAACAACGAGATCATAATAAATGGATATAAATTCATTCTGGGTGCGTTTAAAGGAATCTAAATACCAATCCATTAACTTGTGTGATTAGTACTACCACTACAACAAAACAAAACGAAGAGAAAGAAAACAAAAAGTAAACAGTTACTATATAATCTGAACGGTTGCAAACTAAGCAAGCAAATAATCAAGTTTAAGTGACATACACAGTTTAGTCAATGTTCTAGAAACGTGCAATACCCTCACAATTCAGAAAACCTTTTGTTGCATTGCTCTCTTTCTCTCCAACACTGTTTTAGCCCACTAGAGTCTGCCATCAATACTATGTTTGCAAAAATAGAAACTTCTCTTAGCTTGTCTTTTTTTTTCCATTACTCCGGCCTAGCTTGTAGGTATCGATCATAATATTTGACAATACAATTGTTGCCTACTGAGGCAATAAAACTTCACCTTTTAAAATATATATTTATATAGTGTACGGGCCAGTTCTGAAGCTATAATCACGTAGTGTAAAGCTAACCATATTGTAAACAAGACTAAAAAAATTCATATTGTATTTCTGAACGGGAAAGACTGTAGTGTTCTACTAATGTAAACTTCTGACATCATAGAACCAGCAAAAGAAGACCTGTCAAATCTTGCTTCATTAAACCCTCCTCAAATCAGTTAGACCTTTTCTCATTAGCTTATGTCTTACGTGTACATCAAAGAAGGATAAATGATCCCGTCGTCCATTTCGAGAAAAGATTCATCACGAAGAAATCTTTGGAAGAAATCCTGACAGAAATGATAACTTGATGAAAGTCTACTCTATCGATACCAAATCAGATCCAAGCTAATCTACAGCACTAACCCTCAAAACATACTCGGTCTACCCATTTTTAAACGTATCAGAATCTTTCACTTCCTGCCCGATATCGGTCTCGGCGCCAAACGCCATCAACGTAACTGGCACAGACTCTGCTGGAGCTCATATCAGAGACGTCTGTCTTTTGATCAAAGTGCCCTTGATAGTTTTGTTCCTTGCTTTTTAGTTGAACGATATTTTTGCTTAAACAAGCAAGCATCAACTAAGATACTAAAATCGTACAATAAGAATAAAAAATAGGTAACAAACTGTTACAACGTAGCAGAAATGCTAGTTTTTCTAGTCAGTGTTCTTATTCATATAGTGTAAGGCAGCTCTTAGAAGAAAAGAAAGCGGTTATGAGAGCAAAAACTTGTTCTTTGATCACAAATGAATGCCAAAACCCTCAAGAAACAAAATGAGGCTTAAATAAAAACTAACACACAAGGAGGCTAGGGTTCTTCAAAGAAGAAACAAAACAAAAATCAAACCCTAATTCCCAACATAATATTCTTTTATAAAACCTTTGAAAGAAATATACTTTGATTAATGAAGAAGAGTAAGTAAAAGAAAACGTCGAATTTGATCGATGATCTCGAGTGTAAAAACTGTTTTTTTTTCTTTTGTTTTTTCATCTGAAGGCACTTGATTACACAGTATCTAGTGTGATATGCTGGCACAGCCAAGCAGCAGTATTTGTTTAACCAAAGCCACGCGTTAAAAAAAGATTTGAACCCACATACATATGACCTCCTCATCGCTTTTGTTCGTTTGGTATCTCAGGCTCATCGCTGCATCAAGTAAAACAGTCAATTGTAGCTTGAGTTGAGATCAGGGACTTTCATTTATTCAGGATTCGTCTGTCTTTGTCGTTCCCGCTTGTGAAACACTTGAACCCACTTGGCTCTGTCGGAGTTTTGCGAGGCAAAAAACAAAACACAAAATGGACATACTCGCACGCTGATGGGCCGACGTGCAGTACAGCCGTGAGAGAGATTCTGCTACTTGTGAATACTTGTCTGTTCATGGGCCAGCCTTGAGGATGCAGACATGAAAAGAAGAATAAAAAAAAGGACCAAAGGTTCGGCTTTTAAAACCAATTGGGCCAAATGTTGTGAATAAAACGAGAGAGAACCAAAAACAAAAAGGTGAAATGTCTTTTGTCGACTCAAAGCATCTACAGATCCTTCACAGATTGGATTGGGCAGCAGTTCGGTATGAAAGAGAAGGTGTAGTGCTGGGTTCGGGCTCTCTATAGCCAGGTTAGAAAGTTCTCCTTGTCGATCTTGGTAGCTGCCAGCACTGACTCCATGTCGTTGAGGATGTCGGAGCTTAGGGCTTCCTGCAGGCTGGGCATCAGCTCCTCGCCCTCCACCGCCATGCTCTCGCCCTCAAGGGTGCCTAGGTCCACGTCCGTGCCCGGGATGGCGTCTAGGTAATCGGGGAATCGGCTGGGCTGTGTTGCCATTGAGCCGGGGCCGAGGGTGTCACCTGAGAAAGGAGAGAGGGGTCAGAAATGAACGTTTCCTTTAGGGCTGCACTATACAGAGTTTGGGAAATGCCTGTGAGCCAAGACTGTGATTGTCCAAAGTGCAATGCCGCAATAAGTATTATTGTATATTTATACAAAACTCAATTAAACACGATTAAAATGATTGAATACACTTGATTCTTGCTCTTGACAGTAATAAGGATTCTTATTAGATTATTGCTGTTTTTATTATTATAACTCAAAGCCTCTCCTATTTTGAGTCACCACCGCCTGAATCAAACAAACAGCTTCAATTATTATCACAAAAATCAGTCAAAGTAATTTTTTCATTGCATTAACATCTGTTTCATGCATTATTATTATGTATTTTATGACTGTTTTAAAAAAATGACATATTTTGTCTGTAACAAAAAGTCATGACAATGATCTGTAAAGCACTGATAGAAAAAAAAAATCTGGTTTAGGATACACCAATTGTATATTTAATATATGTAAATTCTGTTATTGTGAAATTTCAGCGAATTTCAGATTTTTAAAAACAATAATATGATGGAAATGCATGAAATCCTGTTTTTGGCATGCCCTGTAATATCTATTTTTTTAAGGTTAGCATCTTGAGCTAAAGCACAGAATGGCTTTTATGGTTTAAAACGTTTAACTGCAATTAACAAGCAAATGTTGCCTATTACATTCAAGAATTATGCATTATTTTACATTATTATCAGATTCACTTCACTGCAAATATATCATTCCTGTTTAAGGAAAATGCTTGAAATGTCCCCACAACTCTGGAATGAGTCACATATAATAATAGCTGCGTCCCAAATGGCACACTATACACTCATGCACTATGTACTTATGCACTTACACACTCACCAGGATAGTATATGTATGTAGTGTCGTCTCAAATGGAGCACTAATGTTTTTTTACTAAGCAGAAATTCAAACCGTTTCCCTGATGACGTTTGACGGTTGCCAAATCAGTGAAATAAACGACCGAATTATCAAATAATACCTGCCGTGAGTATAACCGCATTCACCATCGGGAGGCGCTATAATCACTCTCGTAGGAGAATTTTGCTTTCACAATCCATAATATATAAAGTTATTCAACATGTGCGCCCGATAGCTCCGCCCCTTCCGCTACTTGAGCAAACCTGCAGTCTTTGAGCGTGTGAAGTGTCCATCATTACACACTTCGTTTTAGCGGCTGAATGAGTGCACCATCCGGGTAATTAAAGTGCATGTATTATTTTTAGAGTTTTCAGTGTGAACACACTACTTACACTATTTATACTACAAAATGACGTAGAATAGTGCATAAGTATGCAAGTTGGGACGCAGCTAATGTTTTTGTGTTTAAAAAAACAACACTTCCTATTCTTTCTGCACAGACAAAACAAATGTTGGCCCATTTAATGAGTTTCGTACAAATCTATAGTTATAAATGCTAACTCTGTGAAACAAATCTCATTGATCATATCTGCACTTTTTATTATTCATGATGAGAGAATTACCCAGCATGCATTCAGCAATATTTAAAGTAAATCTGATGAAACAAGCAACCCTAAACATAATGCAATGAATTGACAATTTCAACTGTGACATCACAATACATTTGGTTTAACAGCGTAGCATTTAGCATTTAATTTTAGGCCCAATTGATTTTCTATCAGAGGATATAAATTGTTATGCATTTTCATTATAAGTAGTCCAGTACTGTACCTGTCTCCATCTCATCCACACTGTTGAGGAAGTCGTCTGGAGTGCGAGGGACGCTGTAACTGCTCATGCTCAGGCCACTGTCTGTGCTCTCGTCTCTAGAGTGATATGTCCCGCTGCACAGAACAACACCATTAATAACTTTAAGTGTTTAAATATCAGTTATGTGTACGGATCAAAGATGAGGCATCAAACTTAAAGAACAGTTCACCCAAAGTTAAAAGTTATGTGATCAATTTCTCACCCTCATATCACTCTAATCCCTTGAGGCATTTGTTCATATTATTCGGTAAACAAATGATAAAACTTCTGATCAAACCAGAGAGCTCCCTCATCCTCCACAGACAGGTATAGCTCGATTAACATTTTTTCCCTCTATATCTTCTCATCAGGGCGCCAGGTTGTATGTTTACTACCAGCTATACATTGTAAAGCAGCAAAACACATAATCGTTGTACTGCCGGAAGTAAGCGCGGCCTGACATGGAAAACAGACAAAAACTTGTTTTTACAGTTTTTTGGCAAATAAAAGTGTACTCAGAGCTTTATATGGTTATTTTTGAACCACTGAAGTCATATGAATATTTTTTGCAATGATTTTGTTTGCTTTTCTGGACTGCTGTTTAAGGAGGATGTGAGATTTCATCTAAAATGTCTTCACATTTGGGTTCCAAAGAAAAATGAAGGTCTTTGGAACTACATGAGGGTGAGTAATTATTAACAGAATGTTCATGGTGAACTAAATCAGGACATTACCTTCTAAAACATTAAATATACAGCAAGTAATGCTCTGAGGTTTCATATAACTACTGTGAAAAAAAATGTCAAAACAGTATGATAAAAATTTGCTTTCTATATTTTTACAGATTTTTTTTTTTAATAGCACTTTTATTTTGTAAAAGTATATTGTACACTTCCAGTGTTGCCAGAATGGGCATGTGTCTGTAAAAAAATGGCATAGCCGGGTTGACAAAATGTGGGCGGTTTTAAAGCGTAAATTTTATATGCAACTTATTTAACAAAACATAACTGCGTGCTCCTACTCCATTCAGTTTCTAGTGACCAATGCATAGTGCAAACCCCTTGGGCTCACCCGCAACAGGAGGTGAAGGAAAGTTGTATCAAAATCTGACACCCAGGACAAATCTGACTCCCCTTCGCAGTTAAACTCACAGCAGTTCATCATTACACTTATCTATCTTTTTTTTCCACAATTGACAGCAAGAACAAACATAGAAGTACTGTCTAATTAACAAGCAGCACCTAATTCTATTCAAAAGAATTTAAAACACCAAATGGGACGATTTTTTACCCCATTTTGAAAGTGAAACTCTAGGTAGTGTAATCTACATAGCAATAAGTGCAGCGTGTGTTTTGATGTGATCCGGTTATGTTGTGGTTCTTTGACTGCTGGTTGGTAAAAAAAATTATGACAGTTACAGTAACTCGGTTTATTAATTAATAATATAATTTATTTCATGTAAATAAATTTAAATAAAATAAAGCAATTCCATGCAATGTCAACCTTGCCATGAAAAAAATAGCAAAACCCCCTTTTTTGTGTGTGTGTAGGCTTGTATTTTAAAGTACTGCACAAATGCTCAAAAAGTATTTGTCAGTGTTTTCAAACTATTATATCTGATTTACTAAAGTCACACAAGTGGCAATTTCACATCTGTCACTTCCATAACGAAAAAGTGTCCCATCCATAACCAAGATTTTCTCTTATAAATGCAAAAACATCAAATCAAATCAATCATGTTTATTCTATAGTGAGTCAACTCTTACCCTTTTAGTTGGCATTAATTTTTTTGGGGTTGTGCAGTTTAATTCACTGAATTTCTACAAAGCATGTTGTGCACTGTAAACTTGCAGACCTTTTTGGTCACATCCATAACGCATGTTTATTTTCCTCATTTAAAATATAAAATATGTTTACGGATTGATATTGTTCTGATCCTGTAACTCTGTGCTTTAGTTGCTTTAAAAAAATATAAACAGATGTTTCAATATACTGTTATACTTTCTCTGTGAATTTATGTTTCGAGTTTTTACTGCAAATGTCACATCAATAACGCTGGAATTGCTTAATATTCTAGTATTTAAGGCAAGATTTGGGTGTGGGGGCAGGTTTTGGACATCTTTTGAGCTGGAAAGTCAGCTATATCTGGCAACACCGATCAAATCAAAATCAAGGATCAGAAATGTTAAATATACTGCAGATCAACACACACTTGATTAAATCCAAACCCAAACAAGCCAAGACTATAATTATATACTACAATTGAATCTCCGATGGCTGAGGGAAAAGGTTACCAAAAAGAACATGGCATCTTTTGTATAAAGGTGGATTTATCCCAATAATGTTAGACCTTTTTCTTGGCTGCTGCATAGAAAGCGTTATACCGACCAGCGTCTTCCGGTCGAATGTTTAGAACTTCCGGTTACAGCGTTTACAACTGGTAATTTGCACTCCAAAAATGGATATCAATAGCGTTTGAGTGGATTACGTGTGTGTTTTTGTGAAAGGTGTGTATTAAAGCCGTTATAATCTGTCATTCGTGGTTCAAGCACGAGAGAAAAACGTTCTCCTAGTTCACATCTCTGCTGTGAGAAATACAGTGGCTGTGTGTTTCCCCGGCCTGTCAGCTGTTAGCTCAGCGGCTCTTCAATATTTCACTGCATCATAGAGCAAACCAGATTACTGCCATTAAACTTAACAGGTATGCAAGTCATGCAGTTTACAAAAATGACCAATAAAAGTCTGTTACTGATACTCAGCTGGCTGATTTGCTGTTCATTCTAATCAGGAGCAGTTTACCTTTCATTTAGTGTGTTGTATTTTCAGATTTGTGTTTTTCTGTCATTTCAAAGTGTCGCTTTATTTTCACTTTTTCACAGTTATTAAATCAGTGTGTCAGTGGGACAGTACAGGTGACTTTAGTGATGACGAGGCTTCATTTAAACAGTAGAAGATGCCGTCTGACAATGTGAAGAAAATGCCTCACTGCCCTCACAGCAGTTGTTTTCCCTCCATTAGACATTTTTTTAAATGATCAGTCCAGGAGGTGGCGCTGATCGACAACAGTATTAGTTCAAAGATGATAAAACAGGTAAATAAATTAAAACTATTGTTACAAAGCTGTCCAAATGTGACTGTTTATCCGCATCAGCTGCCGACCGGAAGTTCTTAGCATTCTCCTTGCGCATACACGCAAAGCATAATGGCTAATTTTGGGTTCCAAAAAAAGGTCTATAGAAAAATCACAATTTTATGAAGTCATTTCAAAGAATGAGAACGTGCAGAGCTGTGACTTTGCAGAAAATGTCCTTTTAATATACTAATAATTGTGCTAGTACTGAGCTATACCAATTATAGTGATTATTATACACCTTCACAAGACAATAATCATTTACAAAGTGTTGCAAGAAACTTCCTCTTGACATCTCTACATTTATTTGCAATAATAGCTAATAATAATGACTGCTTATTCTGCTACTAATTGCTGTAAGAGTTTGTGCATGTCCTCCTCCTCCCTGTGGCCTGTGTTGAACTGCTTTTGAGAGTCATTGTAAAAGGTGTTGTTTTGCTGGTGGTCTGAAAAAAAGCGCTCTATAAATAGCAGACAGGCCGTTTAGCAATGAGGGCTCAAATAAAGGGGCCAGAGGACATGCTACAGTGAAGGAAAATACAGCAAGTTTCTCTAATGAAGAGAATGAAATGTGGCTGGAGTGCATGAGAGTTGCTGGATGAATGAGCTCTTTGTGAGTGCAGTGTGAGTGGTGGGGGTGAAGGGGACGGCCGTGTATGAGACCGAAACCACACAGGCCGCCTTTTTACATCTTTTACATGAGAGCTTATGAGGATGGATTCATGTGCTGGACTGCCACTGGAGGGCGCAATTCTCTGAAAAAGCACTAAAATTCATTCATTTTCTCACCCTCGCATATTTCCTTTTTTTGTGATTATTATTATTTACATGACAAAACACCACAAACACATATGACAGGTAGTATGTAGGACTAAAAAATAATGAGAGGGTAAAATGAACAAAAATGCTGATCTAGGAAGAAAGAAAAAAATGGGTTAATAAAAAAACAATAGTAATATGTGTGATTTATGGTGTTGCCAGGGGGGGATTTAGTGATTTGTGGGCCCTAAGCAATTCCTGCAGTAATATGCACCCATTGGATTTGTATTTATTTATTTAGCTGCCTTTTTCTTACACCACTCCGTCTTTTTTCTCCATTTTAATGCAATTATAAATTTTTTTAAGATTTATTTGCTTAAATTGAATTCCTAGCTAAAATTATTGAATAGACTTTTGGATTTGATTTTTATAACTAAATCTTCACCTGATTTGACTGCTAGACTGATCCATGATTGGGAGTGGGGGGACACATTTGCAGAGATGTGATAATCAGGGTGAATCTGTATTTGTTAGACACTCACAGAATAAAATATGTCTCAAAATGCTATTTCATATAGTTTATAAAAACATCTAGGTATTTATTGGGGGCCGTCAAATTTCCTGGGGCCCTTAAGGCTGGTTTATACTTCTATCTCGAGTGAACCGGCACATACCTTGCGCGTAGTTGCAAGATGTCCTCGCTGCAGCCCGCAGCTTGATATCGTAGACCAGTGGTCACCAAACTTGTTCCTGGAGGGTGAGTGTCCTGCAGATTTTAGCTCCAACCCTAATCAAACACACCTGAACAAGCTAATCAAGGTCTTACTAGGTACACTTGAAACATCCAGGCAAGTGTGTTGAAGCAAGTTGGAGCTAAACCCTGCAGGGACATCAGCCCTCCAGGACCGAGATTGGTGACCCCTGTCATAGACGATCGTCAACTATGTAACGGACCTTGTACCGCCCTAAGTTTACGCTCATGCTACCATGATGGTTGGGTTTAGGGTAGGGGGAGGTGTAGGCGATCGTCAACCACGTAGCAGACCTGGTTAACTACGTCATCAAGCTGGGGGCTGCAGCGAGGACTGTCTCCATAGCTGTGCATTTATACTTCTGCATGCTGTTTGTGTTGCTCTGCATTAGCACTTCAGAAACGCTAGCTGGCAGTAGGTTTTTAAGTTCCTCTATGTCCAGTTTCTTTACTGGTGTTTGGACGTCAAACTTGCTCATTCAAAGGCGGGAACCGATGGATGTGCTTTAATCATAAGATAAACAAAATAAAAGTTTTCATCTGGAGCTCCTTTTCACGATACTCGACACTTGTAAACACTCATTCCATCGGCTCTCAGCACCGCCCACACTCGTCACAGCTACCCAAGAAGACCAATCACAGAGCTTGTTCTATGTGTTGTTGCGACGTGTAGTTACATTTTTTAAAGAGTGCAAGTCGACATCAGCCATGGCGAGCCTTAAGTGGCTTACTATTAAATCTGCCCCTGGGTGTTGCATGAAAAGACCATCCTGTCTTTTTTAAAGAGTTACAAATTTTGTTCATTCAGCACAAGTGAAGTTTTTTTCTTTTCTTTTTTTTAAAATTCAAATCTGAGAGATTTCTTGAAAATCTGCACATGCAGAGCTCTTTAAAATGTTCTTAAAGAGGTTAAAAAACCTGTATGAATCTGTCTGAGGAGACATGACTGGCTTAAATCATGAACAGATTTAATTTATTCAAATATAAATGCTAATCAGTAATGTTTGGTTGACGTGGAATGTTTAGTTTCTGTTTGCTGTTCAAAGTTAATATATGTGAATAAAAGCCCAATATATATCTATTCATCATTTTAAATGTGATTCATCAGTAGAATTGGATTAAATCTCTTAATTTTTATAAAGAGTCAAGAGTTTTGGATGAAAAAACTATAAATAAAGGAAAAGAAATATGCCATATCTTTAAGTTCTACAAGTTGAGCAAAGGTAAGTATTTGGAACAATAGTCAGTGATTCCTTTGTGTGTGTGTGTGTGTGTGTGTGTGTGTGTGTGTGTGTGTGTGTGTATATATATATATATTTTTTTTTTTTTTCCTTCTTTTTTTGCTTCTTGTTTTTCTGTCCATTACAAGTCATATAAATTTATCTTTTTAGTCAAGTGAAAGTGAGGGAAAAGTCAAGGAATTTGACATTTGGTTTAGAGTGGGGAAAAAACAAATATGACAAGAAGAAATCATCATGGTAACCAATGACAACATTTTCATTTTGTGGTGAACCAAGGCAGCATTTACACTGCAGATCTTGATGGTCAATTCCGATTTTGTGACTGCATCCGATATGTTTGACAACCCGCTTACATAATCTCTTAAAAGTGACTTGTGTTGTCTGCATTTACACTGCACCAGCAAAGACACAATGAACACGGTAAAAACAGTGGGTGCCGACTGACGGTTGTGATAATAAAATGATCCATTACTGTAATGAATCAGTTTGAAGGTTGTTGGGTTTTTTTATGCATGCATGCATGTACACTACTGATCAAAAATTTGGGGTCAGTTTTTTTTTTCTTCTAATAATTAATTTTATTTAATAATTTAAATAAAATTATTTTGTTCATCAAGGCAGCATTTATTAAATGAAAAAAAATATTAAATACATATTTATTAAATAATTAAATATTTATTTATTACATATTGTATGTAGTTTCAAATTAAATCATTACTCCAGTCATTATGGCTCTTATTACTATTACGATTAATAATAATAATAATAATAATAATTAATATTAGAGTAATTTCTGAAGGGTCATGTGACTCGGAAGACTGGACTAATGAAACTGAAAATTCATCTTTAAAATCACAGGGATAAATGATTAAATTAAATGATCAACTACTTTTAAACAGTGATTTTATAGTGCAATATCATTTGACAATTTAACAATGTGTACTGTATTTTGGATGCAGCCTTGGTGAGCATGAGAAATTTATTTTAAAACATTTAAAAATCCTACTGACCCCAAATGTTTCACCGGTAGTGTATAACTTTAAGCCCTATGCAATTTCTCTGTCTCGACACTGCTGCTAAGCATATTCATGGGCAAGTTAATTTGTTTGTTTATGACGAAGTTCTCATTTGGTACTTTGGTACTTTTAATGTAGGCTTTTCAGCAGAAATGTGACTATCCCCAAATCTCAACTCAACTTGACTGTTTTCCCCAGCTTTTCCAGCAGAGGTCACCGATGAAAGTGCTTCAAGCAAAACTACATACATACTTTGTTATACACTGCCCTTATGTGCTTTTGAACAGCCAACTACAATCATGTGCAAATGCAAAAGTGAGCTTTTCTTGAATAACCAGTGTTCTGCGTGCAGCTGAATGTGTCTTACCTGTTCAAGAAAGGGTCAGAGCTGTTGGTGGTCATGTTACGGGCGTCTTGGCCCATACCAGGTGAAGACACAGGGTTTTGGGTGCCGCCATCCTGCTCCATGCTGGTTGGCAGCTGGTTTCTGAGGGCGAGCTCCTGCACACACACACAAAACAAAAGCAACATGCCTCAAACCGTCATGAAGCAAGCAGACAGGGTTTGCAGGAACCGAACGGAAGCTTAGCGGAAGTCTGAATAGCTAATTTTTGTTGGAATTACTCCAAGTACAGATGAGAGCAGATACATTTTTCTACTGAAGAAAAAGGACAGAACAAACTATACTGGTTTTACTATGAAACCACGCATACGTGCACAATGAACTATCAATGAGTTATGGGAAGTAAAGGACAAAAAAAAAAAAAAACTTAACCTACAAGTTTTACTTAGTTTCATGTGTGTGAGAAATAAAAGCCTTTTCCCATCCAACAAGTTCCTAGGAGTTACAAATCTGGTTATGATTTATCAATGGATTGTGTAAGACTGCTTACTTCAGGCCTCAGCTCAAATGAGTGGTTTAAAGAGACTCACGCGAAGGTGTGGGTTTATTGCACATCATTTAGTACAGAAGGGTCAGAGCTTTGATTTTATTACAGACTTCCTATGACTAATTGAAACTTAAATACTGTCACAATTTCTGCTGATTAAAGGATGATTCAAGCACTGCTTATCAACACGCCATCCACACTGACCCTTTGACTGTTTGAGTGCACTTCACTCATCATAGCTGATAATTATTCATCACATTATGTAAAAAAAAACTCATTTAAATTAACTGACATGATTTTTTTGTATTCGTTTTCAAAAAATATATGTATAATTGAGAGTAGTTTAATTTTATTCAGTATTAACATATTTTATTTGAATTTTTTTGCACAGCCATCTTAACTTTTATCATTTATTAGTGAATATTAAACATCTGTACTTAAAATGAAAATGAATTATTTAATAGCATCCAGAATATAGCTGTTAAAATAGTTGAGAAATTTATAGATATGCGTTTGAGTTTATTGTTAAGATTTGAATTATTGTGTAAAAGGTCTGATAACATTTCCATATGTCAAATAACAATATTGCCATTGAGATTTTTATTATTCATTATATACAGTGCTCAGCATAATAGAGTATAGCCCATTTTTGAAATGAATATTTGTATCTGTTTCTCAGTAAATATAGGCAATGTATTCTGGTGCATTTAAACAAAACAGATATATTTATTTAAATAATATTTTAGTTACCAAACTTATTTAGAAATTGAGAGATAATACTATTAAAATCAAAGCAAAATACTGCAAAAAAAAAAAAAAAATCAATACAATTTTCTCTTTTTTTTGTTGCTCTTGATTTATTTTCTTTTTTAAATTCGTATGTAATATTTTTCCATAACATAAATTTGGGTGTGCTCATTTTTTGGCCATTATCGTAAATTATTTTGTTAGATGAGCTCCAGATTTGGCCTCAGTACTGACTAATCTAATGTTTTTGCACAAATATAACATTGTATAGCTTCCTATTAAAAATAAACAAATTTCAAAGAGAGATTTGTGAGAGGTGTAATCATATTTGCTGAGCACTGTATTTCAGAGGGAAGAATTACACTTAACTGTGGTCATGCCATTTTATAGATTTTTTTTCTCAAAAATGGTATGACAGCAGCTTGTAATTGTTCATCTGAATGTCTCTTTCCTCTGATGGGAACATTGTATATAATTCAGGGGGGCTGATAATTCTGACTTCAACTGTTATAATGTTATATATATAACTGTTATATATATATATATACATATAGTAAATAATATTTTATATTATACACACACACACACACACACACACACACACACACACACACACACACACACACACACACATACATACATACATACATACATACACATATATACACAAACAGAAATGGACAAAATTGTTGGTACATTTCAATTTTGTCCAGTCCACTTTCATAAGCTTGCCTTTTTTAACACTTCTGTTTACCCAAAATTCGAAATCAATATCTGATTTTCATTCATTTATTTTCAGTAATTTTTGATTAATAAAGACATAATTTTATTGACCACTATACTTTTTCTTTCTTTAATGGATGATGATGATAATGGTGTATTTTTATTGAATGCCATATCAGCATCCAAGGCTATTTTCATTTTTCTTTAACCTTTTGTCCACTATGTATGAAAATACCCTATATAAACAAATAAGAAAAATCCAGAAAATTGTCAAAACAACAAATATTTAATCGACAATTCATGGTTATTTAACCAAACACTTTCGTCTCTTTGCAATATTAGTTTGGGTATTATGCAACAATTATTACAACCAAAACATGGAATCATTTTTAGTTATTCTTTGCAGTTGTAATTTGATGTTCTAAATGCTCTAAAAACACTCTAAATAAGTTTTTACACACAGATTTCAACATCTACTAATCAGTCAACCTTTAGCCAATTAAAACTATACATAAAATATAATGTTATTTAACATATAACATAAAAATCAATACAATAATAGAACTAAATCCTGCCCTACAGTTATCTTTAAAAAAAGTGTCATGATATTGAAGCAAAACCGGTTGTGGAAGCAACTTTACATTGACTTTAATTGTCTGTGATTCATTACATAACACTGCTACAACATCAATTCATATGTATACATGTTGTGCTGCTCAGTGTTTAAATTGAGCTGTTTGTAGCCACAGTCTGTCAGATCTCTGTTTATTTCGTTTTCCAGCAGGGGGGTCTACATGACTGACTCAACGCTGTGTTTACATTCCAAAGCAGGGGCAGCTAAAAAGCTCCTCCTCTCCTCCGTATCATTTACTCTCTCAATACAATATTCATACAGCAAGGCTCTTATTTACTGATTTAAAGAAACTAAGTGTGACGGTTTCTTCATATGTTTGTCAGCTGCTTGACTAAGCAGCAAAGGGGACCAGAATTAATGCCAATATACTAATATGTCTGTCTTAGCAATCTTTATAATTACACCATTAGTGCACTGCATATGAAAATACCGAACATAAAGGGTGAGTACATGCGCTACATCCATCTTGCATGTCAAGACAGAAGCTACGTCTGTATGACATCAATGTAGCCAAAAACGTAATCACTTTCCCTCTGTATGTTTACAAGACAGTGTTTTCAAAACAATCCACATTTACACATCCCTTAAAATGACTAAAAATGTTGTATTAGGTGTGCCAGGTCAGTATTTGGTGGTGTTACGTATTGTGAAACAAGTGATGACTTTAAGGACTTTGCTGTGTGTGTATGATGTAATCGTCATAGTTAGTTGAAATGTAAAGTAAACTACACTTTGCTGTGGATTGAGCAATAACACATGCACATATTTCGCCATTGTTGTGTACTGTATGGGCCCTATCATACACCCGGCGCAGTGTGGCGCAAGGCACGGCACAATAGTTGTTTGCTAGTTTCAGCTTGGCGCAAGAGTCGTTTTGAGGCGTTGCGCTACGCTGTTCAAATAGCAAATGCATTAGCGCTCATATGTGTGTCCATAGGCGTTCTGGTCTAAAAAGCAAGGCGTTCTGAGGCGGACCGCTGGCACGTTGCTATTTTGAGAAACTATAATAGATTTTTCATTAGACCAAAACAAACCCAGTCTAAACTCCAGCGCAGAGTTGCGCCTCGCTTACACACTGCTTAATACGCACAAGAGAGCAATAGGCAAATATCTTTACATATGAAAAAAAAATAAATATTAAGGATATATATAGGATATAATAAGAATATTTATAGGATATAAATATAAAGGATTAAAATATTACAAAACATTATTTTCTAGCCTACATAAATATGAAAAATCACTGCTTTTATGCCTTCTTCATCTCGGGAGGCTTTTTCAGTTCATTCATAACAATTTGCTTTTGTATAATGTTATTATTATTAGCAGTATTATTTATTATATCCATATTTATATTTGTTTTATTAAAAACAAGCTTAGATTTGCCCACCTGTCAGGTTTTAGACCATATGGGGCACAGCATGTGTTTTAGGGTATAATTCAGGTTTTCGAACACAATTCGTTAATATTGTTCATTTATTTGTTTGCTGGAAATTAGAACTGAATTTAGAAATAATTTTAAAACAAATATTAGCGCTTAACAAACGCAATTAATTATTTATAGACTAATTGATGTCTGTGCGTAAAGGTTTCACTATCCAAGAGCGAAAGTGATCCATTATCTCTCATTCTCAGCAGTAGATGCTCCGTTTAACAGTTTTCTGTTAAAAAAAACTGTTAACTGTTAACTGTTTGCTAGTGAAATGCTCATTTTTTCCACTTAGACTTACTTTACGTCCTGTAAATAGCGAATACGCTAATGGCGCAACGCAACTGGCTCTTAAAGGGAATGGGAGATGAGACTCTAATTGGTTTATTCTCAAAACACACCAATAACTCATTAAGAAAATAAACTCAACCCTTTTATACAATGCGCCATGGCGCAAAGTGGATTTTCCAGTCCTTAAATTAGCAAAAATGCGTTCTGACTTGCCCTGAAAGCGTTTGCGCCCTGCGTTTTGCGCTCTGCGCATGGACCGTCAAAATAGAGCCCTATGTTTGTTTGTTTTGCTCTTGTCTTTAATCAACACCTCCCTTAAGATGTACGATGCACTTATGTGACATCGTTTTCAAAGACTCTTGGTTTTGGGTGTTTTCATGAACATTTCACAAACTTCCACTTTGAAAGTGAGTTTCAGCAGTGGTGGAAAGAGCACTGAAAAATCTTGCTCAAGTAAAAGTACCAACACTTGCCTAAAAATGTAGTACAAGTAGAGTAAAATTATCTGTTGTAAATATTACCCAAGTAGTTAATACGAGTAAAAGCCCTTTTAAAAGTACTCAAGTGTAGTGAGTATTACCATGTGAACGGCTCATGTGTTTACATGCAATTTGAGCACTGATGTGTAAACGTAATATTCTGTAGTGCATTAGTAATTGTTTAAGGGCATTTGGTGGTTTCAGTTCTCATACAATAAACATCCATCTTCTCATCAATGATATGCAGTCTATAAAGTCTCTAGATCATTGCATGTAAAGATTTTAGACATCTTGCACTTTTGGTGCTTCCAAACAATTTGTTGCATATATGAAGCACCAATGTCTTACGGTTGTTTAGTGTGATGCAGTTTACTTTCAATGTGCGATTTGACTGGACACGAATCACAGGACTGATTAATCTACTTTAGCCAATCCTCTGTGAGAAGAAAATGAGGTAGAGATTGCAGGTTAAGGGAAAAAAAAGGAGTAGAAGTACCAATATAGCCCTAAAAATGTACTCAAGGCAAAGTAAAAGTACACTTTTTTTTCAAACAACTTAATAAATTACAATTCCTAATAAAATGACTTAATTACAGTAATTTGAGTATTTGTAATTTACTTTACACCACTAAGTTTCAGTCACAGTCTTGCTTTTCACTAAAAACGTTGTGTAAACAGCCCCTGAATGTTCTGACTGGTGTGTGTCTGACCTGAGGTCTCTGGCGAAGGAGCTCTTGTTTGATCCTCAGTCTCTCCTTCTCTATGTGGATCTGCTGCAGTCGGATGGGGTTGTTTCCACTCATCACTCCACTCTGTGGGCTGGAGGGCAACTGGGAACCTTGCTTTACTGGGGCACTCTGGGAAATTCGCTGCTGGTTCATTGCTGAGGACATGAAATTAATTGTGTTTATTAATTATTGGCACAAAAAGTACATTGAGGTATATCAGACTTGTTTACATTACACTAATTATCTCACAAACGTATATGGCACAGGTGTCAAACTCAGTTCCTGGAGAGCCGCAGCTCTGCACAGTTTCGTTCCAACCCTAATTAAACAAACCTGATCAAACCTATTTATTCCATCAGGCTTGTTTTAAACCTACAGGTAAGTGTATTTCAGCAGGGTTGGAACTAAACTCCAGGAATTGAGTTTGACACCACTGGTATGTAGAAATGTGCTCATCTACAGCAGTCAACATGTTAAGTCGGGATAATAGTTGAGCAGGAGCTACAGCTCAGAATACACACGACTTGTGGAGTCACTACAGAGATTATTGTTTTTAAGGCTTGTGACTTTGTAAGCATATTAAGAGAGTAAAGAATTCAGGCACAAACGTTTGTACTGTAACTTTAATAAAGATTGATTTGATTTAATATTTAGAAAATGAAGGCTAGGCAGTGCTATTTTTACATTTTATTATTCAATTTCTGCACCTGAAAACTGTTAAAAATAAAAAATTGCAAATAAAACACGAACATTATTTCACTTGCTAATTGATTTATACTGGTTGACTAATTTATTTATTTATTTATTATATTTTATGCATAATTGACGCTCCTGTAAAATCATCCCAATCAATTTAAATGAATAGAATGTTTCCAAATAGGGAAATTTAAGACATCTGGTGAAATTGTGTTCATACCGCAAAATAAAAAAGAAAAGCACAGAAAAGCTAAATACCGCAAATATGTAGTTAATTCACATGGCTGTAAAATAAAATAAAACATTCATTGGAGGGCCTTTATAATTATTAGATAAAAGAATTGTAAAGTAAAAGAACAATCAAATATTTATTTACAAAAAAAAATGGAAAATAGGTATGCTGATATGTTTTTAGAAAATGTTGACTGCATGTTTTTAAGGTATTAAATGATCAGGCACCGTCTTAATCCTGACTTATACTTTCGACTTGAGCCACATGGCGGACCTCCGCTGACTGAGCGTGGAAATTGTATACTTGGCTTTTATACTTGATGCGTTTGCCGTTGTGATAATCTTTACAATGTCAGGGGGTGGCCAAAAGAAACCTATCGTAAAATCAGACAGATAACCATAGAAGTAGGAAGTTTCCGGAACTACATCATATCAATAATATCATTCAAGATTTTTAAACAGTTCTACCAATTAAAGCTTATTAAAATATTAAAGACAACAGAACATGGGTTGCTCAACATATATATATATATATTTATAGGAAGAATAAACCATTATCACCAATAGAATAAAAAAAAACAGAGCATCAGTATGTTAAAAACGATTAAATATTCTTTATCAGTTTTCAAATAAATTATTTTTTCCTTAATTATTGTTTTGTACCTATAAGATTATTTTATTCAAAATGAATGATGAAAAAACACATTCCTGTAATTAAATAATCTGTTTTGCCTTTAACAGACTTTAGGTTTTTCCAAGCTTTTACAAAATTGGTCCTCATTTCCCAATGCTGTTGCAATTTCTAGCCAAGAATTATTGGCCATCTGATTATCCTTATGATCACGCATGGATGGATCATGAAGGTGTCTGTACAGTAGTGAATGTTTCAGACAAAATCTCTTCAAAATGATTCATTATTCAACTCAAATGAAACACTATGCTGCACAAACTGTTCTGCTTTTGTGCAATCATGTCGCACGCATCAAAAGCAAACCACCGAATGTGACATCGATGACGTCACATTCGCTGCGCACACTAAAGCGAACTAGTGGACGAGTCGAGTATAAACCAGTTTTATTTTTGTAACCTTAATGCTGTTAAAATTACTGGCAGATGTTTAAGGTCTTCAAAGCAGAAAATGTCCCCAGAAGTCCCCAGATCAAACTAAAGAAAAAAGGAAAAAAGTTGCAATGACTTCTGGGACTTCTAGAGCGAGTGCTGCGCTAAAATCTGCATTGATGCGTCTTCGATATCAAGAACACATTTGGGAACTTTCTCATGTCCTCTGTACTTGCGTTCTTGAGTTTTGGAACTGAACTTTTGCAGTTGATGATAATGTTACACGAGGACGCAAAATCGCTGATGAACCCATACTGAGAAACAGCCAAAGTTACTGGCGATTGGAACAAACATGGATGGCATTCATATTGCCTCGGCATCTTCTTTAATGTGCACCAGCATTGACAGTTTCGCGCTTGATCGCCTCCAAGTGTTGTGTACTGTAATTTTAACTGCTCCGTGAACATGAACAACCAATCTGATTGAAGGGTTTGATGCGATGATCAGATTGGTACCCTTTATTTAGTCACGAGGCATTAAACGTCGACTAAAAACGTGAGCAAAAAGCATTCCGGTGTGAACAGGCATTTAGAAAAAGCCTTTTAATTTGTTTCTACGATATGCATTTGATGTTAAGTGCTATGTTGGTTGTACTGTATCCTGTTTTATTTGTTGTTGCTTATCTTTTGATAATTTATAGCCCAATGTGTGTACAGCACAATGATTAAGAACTGTTTTATTGTGCTTTGTAAAGAAACGTAAAGTCAACATCAAAACTTAAATTGTAGAAAGAAAAAAGTTAGCTAATAGTTTGATTCAGATCTGTAATATAATATATTTTTTTATTCTTTTTGCCAATTTAACATTAAACAACTTTGTTATATTTATTTGTAATTTCATAAATCACCTGAGATCAGTCTACAATCACTAAGAAGCCTAAAAGATAAGGGATCTCACCCAAAGGGTGTCATAGGCATTGGTATGTATACTACACAGGGTTTAGGAAAGGCCTATCAATTCAAATGAATAGAGCAATGTGTTTCGCCGCAGACGCAAACACAGAAACAAATGTTTTGGACCGTAGGAGGTGGGGTGTTACAGTAATTGGACCAATGAAAATCGGTGTTTACTTATGCGCTGGGGCCACCAGTGACAACAAAGCCGCGATGGTGCTGGCGTTGTCATGCGCAAGGGAGCCCCGTCTTCCCTGCTTATCCTCATCACCATTCAATCAGAGAGTGTTTACACTACCTCAGGCCTGAATGAGTCTCCGCTCTCCTCTCACCATGGGAATCAGATCAGAGACTCACCACGCCTCACACACACACCGCAAACACCCTCCCCCACCCTGCCCGAGGCTTGGAAGAGTGTGTGGGAATGTGTGTGAGCACAAGTGGGGGAGTGTGTGTGTGTGTGTGTGTGTATGTTTGTTTCTCTTTAAAGACTCTTATCTCGCATAGATATGGGTTTGTTGAAGGCAAATGATGGCTCTGGTGGAGCAGTAATGACTGATCTCTGACCAGAAGTGACCAGTTAATGGGGTAATTCACCCAAAAATGAAAATTTGCTCACTGTTTGTTCACCCTCAAGGGGTTCCAAAGCTTTAGGAGATTTCTTAATCTGTTAAAGACTAAAGAAGATTTTGAAGAAAGCTCAAAACCAGTAAATAGTAGGAATAACAAATACTATGGAAGTCAACGTTCACATGTTTTCAGCTTTCTTCAAAAGATCTTCCTTGGTGTTTAACAGAAGGAAGAAACTCAAAGATTTAAAACAAGTAAAGGACGAATAAATGATGACAGAAATTTGGGGAGAACTACCCCTTTAATATTTGCTGATATGTCATGGCTAGTTTTGTTTCGTCTGCGATTAGAGACACAACAACAACAGTAATAAAAATGGTTCTCAGGTCTGGATTTCCCTGACTAGTCTGTACTTGTCTGCTGTAGAGTTTCTGTGGGCATCTCTCTTGGGAAACTCCATACCACAGCACGAAGATGAAACACAAACAAGTCTTATCCATGGGGTTGAATGACTCAGTGTTGCATAAGCACAGCAGAACTAAAGGGTTGTGCCATGGACTGTTCTCTTCTCTTCTGAACCAACATGTGGAGGTGGAGGAATCGTTCCAGAAGAACACAAATAAAAAAAGAGATAAAAGTTCAGATTGACGTAGTTTGCCCGTCTACACAACACCGAGTCATAAGTCTTCATATCAAGCTATCTTCTAAAGGTGCCAGCCAATAGCAGCTCACTTTTCTTTTCAGGAGAGAGCTGGAAGGGTGTAGGGAAATGTTGGGAAATGCAGGACCTTTGAAGTCTTTGTAAATATTGATTTAACAGGTTTGTTGTATAAAAGCCATGCTCAAGTTGCGTTTCTAGTTAAGAGATAAGTGCCAAGGAGAAAAGGAAAGAGTCAATCAGTGTCCAGAAGAAAAGCCTCTCTATATCCTATCATACACAAACCTCAGTGGGTCACACAAAAGCATGCTGAGAGCTGCCGGAAGCCAGCGTGAGGAAATTCAGCTGTGACTAGTGTGTAGTAGGAGACCAGTTGAAAGCAAGATGGCAGCCGTATCACTTACAAGTGGAAACAGCAGGTGGTATATTTATACATCAAAGCTCGGAGACTTAGGCAGTTATTATTAGTGATTACTGCAGTGAGGAAGGCAAATGTGTTTCTGTTATTTGGGACTCAAGTAACACTAAATTATATTATCTACAAATATTACAGTTAAACTAAGGTTCTTAGACTTTTCTTGCTCTCGGAATATGTAACATTTGATCAGTTTTCTTTCACAACATTTTATTTCACGTCCTAACAGCAGATGCAGTCACACCATCTCAAAATTATTATTATTATTATTATTTTTTTTTAAAGAGAGATCACATTCTTGTAAAACTTAGTTTCAATGTCTGAATGTCAAGAGGTATCTCAATGACTAACCAAATGCATTTCAAGGTGAAAAGGAGGCAGCACACACTTGGGTGTAGCCAAGTTTGACGGGGCCTGGTAGGGAACATGCTAAAACCCACCTAGAACTAGCCATATATCACTGCACTCCAACTCATCTGAACAAGCTAATCATGGTCTAAGGTGCCATTTACACTAGTGTGTTTTTGTTTTAAAATGCAGTTTGTAATGGTTATGCCTGCTCTCCACTGTACTCCGACATCTTCAAACTGAGAACAAAGAGCCTGTTTTAGTGGATGCAGTTTGAGTTTGGAAATGTGGCTATCCACAATCCCCTTGTGACTGGTCTTCTGAACTATTCTGCATCTTTCCCTGATTTGCCAAGGCCTGGTTATATGAAGATTACAACCAGTAGATGGCAAGTTTGGATGCCGGTAAATTATGCACATATTAATAATAATAATAATAATTCCTTACATTTGTTTAAAATTTTTCTGGACACTCAAAGTGCTTTATACAATTTTGGAAAGAATCTTCTGTTTCACCACCAGTGTGCAGCATCCACCTAGATCAGGGATGTCCAAACTCCTGCAGATTTTAGCTACTACTTGCTTCAACACACCTGCAAGGATGTTTCTAGAATGCCTAGTAAGAGCTTGATTAGCTAGCCTAGGTGTGTCTGATTGGGGTTGGAACTAAACTTTGCAGGACACCGACCCTCCAGGACCGAGTGTGGACATCCCTGACCTAGATGATGCGACAGCAGCCATATTGTGCCAGAACGCACACCACACACAAGCTGACTGGTGTAGAGGAGACAGAGTGATGAAGCCAATTATGATATGGGGATGGTTAAAAGGGCATGATGAACAGAGGCCAGTGGGCAAATTTGGCCAGGATGCCGGGGTTAAACCCCTACTCTTTTTTTTTGAAGGACATCCTGGGATTTTTAATGATTCAGGACCTCCGTTTAACGTCTCATCCGAAAGATGGCGCTCACTAAGCAGTATATAGTCCCCATCAATATACTGGGTCGTTAGGACCCACACAGACCACAGGTCTCACTAACGCCACTTTCGGCAGCAACCTAGCTTTCCCATGTGGTCTCCAATATAGGTACTGACCAGGCGCAGCCCTGCTCAACATCAGTGTGTGACCATGTGAGAATTGCAAAGAGCTAGCTGCCGGCAGAGAGCTACATGCCTAGAGTGTGTGAATAATCACAGATCAATCAGATTTTAGCAAGTTTTATTCAAAAACAAAAACGCACTAGAGGGTTACTAGAAATCTACAGGTAAAGAGTTTTTCAAAATTGGAGTAGATCCGTGGCTGTCCAGGACTGGAATTGGCAATCCCTGCCCTAAAACCACAAAACAGCTTAGCAACAACTACCTCAGGAAAAGCTAAATCCATGAATGCACTGAGAGACCTTTGAATGTGTACCAATGATATCACATTTGTCATCCCGATTCCCAATAAGGCAAGCGCCTTGGGAGTCATGAAGTGTTTATGCAATGTGCATGGTTGTGTGTGTGTGTGTCAGCTCTGGAAAAGATGAGTGCTTCACAAGAGCATGACATGACTTGGCACTTGCCAACAAGGTGCCAACTCCTGCACTTCAGTAGTATGATAATCCAAGCCTGCAGCACATGACCGATAACCCAAGGTTCCAGTTGGCCTTTGTGCTCAAAAACTACAAGTCTGCAAGCCTAAGGGCCAGGTGTAGTGTGAAATGCATCATAAAGTCGCTTGTTGAACTCTCAGACCAGACCTCACAGCCTGTTCACCACCTCCACCAGTTTATTCTATGGGCTCTCTTCCTTTTTCTCCCATTTTTCCCTTTCTTTTTCCTCTTCCCTTCCCCCCTCTCTGGCTCTGCCTCCGCCTGCCCCCTTTCCTCCCTCTCTCTCTCTCTCTCTCTCTCTCTCTAACATTGGGTCTCTTTGACTGAAAAGGTCTGGAACAGATTAGGAGCAGAGCTGCAGCATCGAGAGGCCTGGCACCGACTCAAGTCCGTCTAGATGTGCAGCTGAGAACAGTTCTGCCTGTGCTGGGCCTCACGCGGGGTGGGAAGGGGGGGTTAGACAGAACGAGAGAATGGCCAGACTTCAGTTCTCTGTTAAAGGAGTACAATCCCATTCTACTCCCAGCTCGAATTACCAAAGTGTCTCCAATGGCAAGCAAAGACCCAGACGAGACAACATGTCAGGTTAGCAACATATTTAATGGCTTCTCTGCAGGTCTACCACTGCAAGAAGAAGCCGATGTTCTCAAAGTTGTGTTGGCAGGATAAAATTTGCCCAAACTTCTACACTTCAACAACCTCAAAGAGGGTAGCGAAGGTCATTAAAAAAATGCAGATACAAGCAGTTACATAAAGCTTGCAGGAACACCCAAATGTTTTCAACATGAGGCAAGGAACGAGTTAACCATGTCAACCCCTCTGGTTGTTCTCCCCCTCACATTACGTCTGTAATTCAGGGGCCCACCAGGCTTGTCCGCTGAACACTTATAAATCTTCAAAGGACTTCACCCACAAGAGACGACCCCCCCCCCCTCCTCCTCCTTTTTGTCTTTCGTTCTTTCTCTCTCTCCTTCTCCTGCCGTACCCAGCCCTGCATAGACTGTTTACCACTTTAGCCACAAAGATTTTTGCGCAAGGTGTACATTAGCTCACAAAAATCTAAGCAGAGTATTTTGGTCAAAGATTGGGCAAAACAAGCTTGTCCAAACATGAAGGAGATAGTGAGACCTAGTCCCGTAGGATATCTCCATTGGGATAAAGGGAAAACACCTGAAGCGCGAGTAACTCAAAGTGACATAAGCAGAAGCCTTCATCTCTTTGTAAGCCTTACGTGCTCATAGAAAGAGATTAAAGAGAGGAACTGAAAAGGGTAGAAAAAGGACAAACATCCCAGACTGACAACCTTTCGGTGAACCATTTATCTCGACAGCGAAAAAACAGATGATTAGATTAACGTGACTATTCCACTGCTTAGATATGTTTGGTCGTCTCCTATGGATTATGGATTCATATCTGAACAGGGGATTTAGGAAACGGTATAATCAGATGGAGTTTGAGCTAGTTCGCTAGTGTGTGAGTAAAGGGATCACATAGCAGAGTCCTGAGTGTGGAGCAGTTTTGGCTAACCTCAGTATGAGTCACAGGAAGTAGGAATTGTGTGCCGCAAAAACAAACACTCTCACTCACTTTCTAATGAACACATTGTCATGGAGCAGATACCTACAGTCTGTAATCAGCATACTGTAATGATAAAGCAATAAGGAACAGCTCTGTAATTTTACCACCACAATGGAATCAAGTTCAGGGCTTTGAGGACCTGAAATCATGAAGTGATTTGATTTCCGGTCTTCATAGTTAAAGGAAAAACATTTTATTGAGACAAAAAGAGAAACCAAAAGTAATATTTCGATTTTTAAATTTGGCTAATTGAATTGGCTATGGGCGTTACGGTGGCACAGTGGGTAGCACGATCGCCTCACAGCAAGAAGGTCACTAGTTTGAGCCTCAGCTGGGTCAGTTGGCATTTTTGTGTGGAGTTTGCATGTTCTCCCCGTGTTTGCGTGGGTTTCCTCCAGTTTCCCACACAAGTCCAAAGACATGCAGTATTGGAAATTTGGTAGGCTTAATTGTCCATAGTGTACATGTGTGAATGAGAGTGTATGGGTGTTTCCCAGTGATGGGTTGCAGATGGAAGGGCATCCACTGCGTAAAACATATGCTCGATAAGTTGGCGGCTCATTCCGCCATTGCGACCCCAGATTAATAAAGGGACTAAGCCGAAAAAAAAAATTCATGAATGAAAGAAACGGCTATGCCTATTTTTGCTTAGTGAACTGACAGCACTGCTACTGATATGTTATCGGTCTATATCTTGTGAATGAAACAGATTCGTAAGTTAAGCTCTCCAAACCATTTTATTATACTTTTTTTGTTAAATCTAATACATCACTGTTCATATCGTTTATTTCTTTTATTAAATAGCAGCAACAGCGTCATGGAACGAGTCCAATGTTCGGGCCCAATTTTTATATTTTAATTTAATTATTCTCATTTTTTAAGCTTACCGAAACGCGGGTCAAGTCGTGGGTCCAGCCAAGAGGTGGTTTTGTTCTTGTGATTGATGTAGTAGATTTCTCCTTCTGAGGTAATAGCTTGTTCCCACCCGTCAGGAAGAGGACCTGAGAGAGAACAGTCAGGATACAATTAAAGGGACAGTTCTGTCAAATTCTGTCATCATTTACTCACCCCTTTACTTGTTCCAAACCTGTTTGACTTTCTTTCTTCTCTTGAACACAAAAGAAGATTTCGTTTTTTTGAAGAAAGTTTAAAAGTTGGAACTATTGACCTCCATAGTATTTGTTTTTCCTACTATGGACGTCAATGCTTTTCAGCTTTCTTCAAAATATCCTCTTCAGTGTTTAACAGAGTAAAGAAACTCATAAAGTGAGTAAATCTTCATTTTTGGGTGAACTATCCCTTTAATCATCCAGCACCATCTAAAATGATCAATTTAAGATTTGTTTAAGAACAGTTTGTTTTCATCCTGCATTTTCACCCACATGACACTTCCTCATTCAACTCCATAGCTAGCTAAACTTTCGTTCCTGATCTTTTATTGCTACTAGAAACTAAAAGCACCACAGAGAAAGATAAGGGATGTGTACGGATAAGAATGACGTGCGTTTGAAGCTTTTCGGAGATGGAGATATTGTGCAGGCATAGTAAACTGTATGCATTACACATAAGGAAATGACATGACTTGACAAGTTATAGTATGGAACATTCTGTTTTTGGTTTGACTGACAGTCAAGTAGTAAAATAGATCTACATGATTGCCAATCAATAGCCGGGTTTCCATTCTAATGTAAAGCAAATCTTTTCAAAGTTTGGAAAAAAGAAAAAAAATCAAAATGCAAAATAAGTGCGTTGCCATTACGTTGTTAGACCGGCTGACTGTTTTGGTTACCAATAGTAGACAAGGCAAGCATAAAGAGTTGTTCAGACTAGGGCTGTGCGATTTGGGGAAAATATCTAATTGCTATTTCGATTTGATTTGCGATTTAATTTTGTAGAGTTTGTAGCTTCGGCTCAATAATCTGCATTGTAGATTCTTACTGCTAAAATGCAGTGAGTTTTAGTAATAAAGGAGCTGAAAGAAATTAACCAAGTTGGAGACTTTTGTTCGAATTTGTTTAAAAGATTCAGAAATTAAACACTTATTTTTCTTTAGAGCACACAGTAGTGAGTTATGGCATTAGTTATCTCCTGGTGCCTTCGTGATGTTTTTTCATATGGTGTAACAGCTTCAAACAACTCTGAAACTGCACTTTGCTGTTGCTAGCTACTAGATTGAGCATCATTGACAATACTTTTGGTTGACTTTTTAGCAAAACACTCCAAAACACACCCTGTGGTGCTTTTTTAGGTGCTGGTTGTTGCATTTCCTCGTGCTGTGGCAACAATTCTGCGACAACTCTTACAAATTACCTATTTTTGTTCGGTGTCTGTGACTTTAAAACCCATATTAGTGACATGCTGTTTTTCTTTGATATGAATTAGTATATTAATGCTTCTGAAGCAGCAAATGGCATCATCCCACTCGTCTGCGCTTTCCTGTTTGTTTGTTTTATTATGGGTTTTCTGGATAGTTTGATTGTACAATTCTGATCTGGCAGAATGAAAGTGTGCTTACTGAATTGGCTAGTAAGACTGTCAAAAACAGACCGCAATCACGCATTTGCTCTGGGTGAGGCAAATTATATATTTCATATCACAGCCTCTTGCGATTAGCTAATGGCAATGTTTAAAATCAATTCGATTTCGATTCATCACGATTGCAAATCGATTAATCGCACAACCCTAGTTCACACCATGCACGTTAACTATAAACAATTTTTATATTTTATAATGATAAAAACATTTCACTTTTTTTTTTTTTAAATAAGAAAAAAAAATAGCAAGAGTTCAGACCACAACTATTATGATAAAACTGTTGAGAAAAAATACAGATGGGATCACTTTCAGACTTGTTTTTTCTCAGCTAATAAATGATAAAAAGACCTTAAGTCAGTCAGAATCCCCTGAAATACAAAGCAATCGTGCATTTTAAAGCTACAGACGACATTGTGAAGATGCACTGCTTAATGTTAAGCCTTCTTTTCAAACATTGTTTAACTATCTAAAAATAATTTTGTATACCATGGGAAAGAATGATAATACATGAATGCTTTGCAAGACAGGCTAGCAACCCGAAGTATAAAAATAAAAAATTCATTTAGTTTGTGTTACTTTTTTTTAAATGCTGAGAAAACAGTTTGAGTTGTTTTTTATTCCACTACGCTGACTCTGACAGCTAAATGAATTTGATTAATAAAACATTTTTAAATAAACTTTACAGGAGCTGGATTCACTGGTCGGATGCGCTAGTAGCACACTGCTGGTCACAAGGGGGTAATGCAGAATGAAAAGCACAAACTAAAAATAATGTATTTTTCTCGTTTGTAAGTATGGACGCAAAATATAGTTACTGTTCTAATTATATTTATAGTTATCATGCTTGGTGTGAATGGGTCTTAATGGTATCACGTGAGTGTAAATGTCGGCAAATGCGTTTCCCATCACCCATTATTTAATAACCCTTTTTCGCAAAAGTACAAAACCACCTCAAGCGAGCGTAGAGACTTTTTTTTGTGAATTTAGAGATTTCTTTTGAAATTTGGCATTTCCATCACTCATTTTCATGTTAAACTTTAAAATGTACATTAACAAAGAGTGATAGAAACCCAGCTGATGATATATGCTTCTGTTGAAGACATCAGCCTGCATTTCTCAATGTATTTTAAAAGCAATCCTGTTTAAACAACTCCATCCATAATTTCACCAATAATTGGATCTATCCATACTCTATCCATAATTTCACTTCATTAATCATAAAATTGTGACAATGTATCATTATATTGAGTGATATTTAAAAGGACCTCAAATCAAAATGTACAATAAAGTGATCAACCGAACAATCTAGTTTTCAGGACTCCAAAGAATGACATTGGAGTTTGAAGGAAACGCCTTAAAACCCTGCTCTCGTCTCAGTTTCTTTTAAACCTCCTTTGAATCGAATAACCTCGGATCTGAACATCCAGGTCACTGTTGTCACTCCAACCAGACAACTCCACCTAATCATCAGCTGCCATTGACATGCATTCATTTGCATTTGTCTGCCTTGATAAAGTTTCTGTGTTTGCTGAGGTAGAGGCGTGTTTGGGTGGGATGTAAACAGAGACTGCTACACCCGCAGAATTACCATGAGAATGCTGGGGCTGAGAGTGTAGTTTTTAATATGAAATAAGTGTCTGGAGCCGCTGACCTGAGGCTGGGTTCATGATGTTCTGTTGCTGCACAGGCACTGGGCTGGCTGGGGCGGCCTGGTTCATCTGAAGGAGAGCTTTACGTGGGTCCTGCCAGGTGGTCGTCTGGTCATTATGGCTAAGGGGAGACAGAGACATACATAATCAGGACAGTTAAGCATAACTATGAGTAGCTTTGTCTTTCATTTGAATGAGCTGCATCCTTGCTTGGACATAAGTGGTTTAAGTTTAAATCTTGAACACGTGAAAAAAAAAAAATTTAATATTATAATACTTTTGTGATTCTATTAGTTTTTTCTTTCAAATTTATTTATCCTTACGATTTAAAATCTTTAACACGTACTATATATGCACAAACATATACTATTTTTATAGTATTTTGCAGACAATACTAAAGGTATCTCAAGTGTCATTATTGTACAGGATGTACATCAATGACACAAATTAGACAAACACCTTAGAATTATAAGGTTCTATCTGTCATTTTAAAAATAAGTTTTACATTCATTCATTCATTTTCATGTTGGCTTAGTCCCTTTATTAATCCAGGGTCACCACAGCGGAATGAACCGCCAACTTATCCAGCAAGTTTTTACGCAGCGGATGCCCTTCCACCCGCAACCCATCTCTGGGAAATGTTTTACATTTTAAAACTTTTTATTTAAAAAAACAAAAAAGGTTTTTAATCTACAAAGTTGAACTCTGGCTTGGCTCTATAACAGGGGTGCCCAAAATTTTTTGCATGAAGGTCCAAAAACCAAATATCATTGATAGCCATGGGCCGAAGATAAACATATCTTTGATTCCGATATCATTCATTATTGTTATTTTCAGTCCCTTTATTAATCTGAGTTCGCCAAAGCGGTACGTTTGTAGTGTGAGTGCAAAACGCGTGAGACGTGACTTTTAAGGGACTGTTTCATATGGATTTATTAATCATTCTTACTGTTCAGTGAACGCAAACTGCCGTAGATTATTAAATACGCAAACCTCTCACTGCACGACAGCTACGCGCCTTCAGCAGACCTCATTCCTGCAGCACGAGGGTTTTATGATTGTTTATGAGCGCCAAAAGTGGCGGATCTGTTCGGCGAAATATCTGACTGCGTGTCCCCGCATCCCTAAGGACTGTTTTTGGCGAAATATTTGACTGCATGTCACTGCATAACAAACGACTGAAACGATATAACTAGAGAAATCTCCACTGTGCTGCTGAGTGAGAGAGCGCTTCTCACTGAACAGCGCAGCATCAATGACGCAAGCGTGCCCAGGCCCGATTTTGGTGTGAGAGCGAGCCGTCGGGGGAGACGGGAGGGAGGACAAGCATGCTTTGGCCCGGTTTGAGGCAACCGTACCTAGTGTGAGTACGGCCTTAGGATCTCTGTTATGTTCATGTATGAAAGAGAACTGTTATACACATATTATTTGCTATATAAAATGCAAAAACGATCTCAAAGAACGCAGATACAACCTTATAATTCCAAGGTGACGAAATTTTTTTATCTTTTTCAGACAATATACAATTTTTTAACTATTTATTATAAATAAAATACTGAACTATTATGACAATTTTTCCTTCGTCAACATATTTTATATACTTTTTTAGTTCAATTATATTAAATGCATTTATTTCACATATGGACAGCTCAGTCCTTCACAAACATTCTTGCAAAGAAACGATTTTATTTCTTTCTATTCTGCTAAAAAAAAAAAAGACAATTTTTTGGTGTGTATAACACATACAGCACAAATGTAGTCTAGGCAGGCAGCTCACCAAGTTTCAAGACACACTCTATGTCTAAACATTGCAAAGATTTATGGAAATTAAAGACATATTAACAAAGGTGCGTCAAGGGCAGTGCGCTGCAATATAAACCACAGTTATATATTCCACACCGGTTTATTTTGTTCAAACTGAGCGCTCAGATAAAACTCCCAGCGAGTGGAACTTTTAATAGATCTCTGTAAACAACTGAAGGCCAATTCATTTGGACAGCATCTCAGTCCTTTAATCTGCATAAGCAAAATAAAGCAGCAACCAAACATTTCCAAAGCCTCCTGCAAGCAAGTGTAAATGATGGTCTGTCCTAAAAGCAGTGAAACTCCCATTCATTTCGTCAGCCCTGCCTACTAAAAATAGGCTGTTATGAAAGTTTATTTCGTAAACTTTACAATTGCCACCCACTCTCCTGTCAGATTTGCTGATGTATTTCTGTGGAGGAGGGAGTGTGGATAACTGTAGGTCGCTTGGTGAACTTTGACCCCGTTTACTTGCGATTTGCCTACATGCAGTGGATTGAAGCAGGGTCATCTGCACATTTAGTCACTGATTTCTGTGTAAGGCCAGTGATGCGTAACACAGTTACTGGAAAAGGCATCAACAAGTCTGAAAGGAGAGACTGAAGCCAGACTTACACTCTTCTGTTTATTCAGATTGCAGACAGCAAGGTGGCAGTGAGAACTGTTCTGTTTTCTCTTTCGCTGCAGTTTATCACTTAAAGGTTAAGCAGGCGAGGCTTTATAAACTTCAGTATCCAACAGACAAAGGAAACAAAATTAAGGGGACAGTCCTTTACTCAACCTCAAGTGGTTCCAAACCTGTTTAAGGCTACATTTACATCACAACAGTATAGGCAACAACAGAAACGTTTTTCCATTGCATTTTGAAAATCTACACAACAACATTTTCATAATAATCCACATTTACACATACCCGTGAAAACGACCAAAATGCTGCATTACATATGCTAGGTCAGTATTTGGTGCAGTCACCTTGCTAGTAAACACGTGTTGGGAAGGGACAATGTGCTGTTCGACATATATAATTTGCCGTTTATGTAACATGAGTCTCCAATTTTGGTTGTACTGTTAAGTAAATCCACTCTTTTCTGATGAAAACTCCATCATGGTTGTGTTTGTTTGTGCCTGCCTTTATTGCATGTGCATGACGTCTTTGTTTTAGAACACTTTAGTTTCTGGCTGTTTACATGGACATGACAACAGCAGCATTTTTAAAAACTTCTATTTGAAACAGTCCCAAAACTATTGTTATGTATTCAAACAAGCAAAATGTGTACAAAGCTATCAATTTTTGTCTAAAAAAAACATAGTTGTGCAAATGGCCTCTTAGTCCTTTTTTTGAAGTTTTTGAAGAATGTTTAAAACCAGAAGCCATCAACATCCATGGTATTTTTACCTACCATGGACGTCAATGGCTGATGGTTTCTACCTTTCTTTAAAATATTTTCTTATTCATTTATCTATCCATTCATTCATACATCGATCCATGCATTTATCCATCTATTTATCCAAGTATATATCCATCCATCCATCCATCCATCCATCCAACTATACTGTATATCCATCTATCTACATATCCATCCATCTGTCCATCCATCCATCTGTCTATCCAGACATCCACATATCCATCCATCTATATATCCTTCCATTTATCCGTCCATCCATGCATCTATATATCCAACTATATATATATCCATCCATCCATCCATCCATCCATCCTTCCTTCCATCCCCACCATCTATCCATGCATCCATCTATCCGTCTATATATCCATCTATCATACATCAATCCACTATACATCCATCTATCCACCATCCATCCCTTTATCTATCCATACATCCATCCATCTGTCCATCCGTCTATCTATCCATCTAACTATATATTCATCTATCCATCTAACTACTGTATATCCATCTATCTACATTTCCATTCATCTATCCATACATCCATCTGTCTATTCAAACATCTGTCCATCCATCCAACTATATATCCATCTAACGATATATATCCATCCATCCATTCATCAATCTATACATTCGTCCATCCATCCATGTAGATATCCAGCCATCGATCCCCCTATCTATCCATCTATCCATACATCTGTCTATCCATACATCCATCTATCTGTCTATATATCCATCTATCATAAATCAATCTGTCTATATATTCATCTATCCACCCATCCATCCCTTTATCTATCAATACATCGATCTATCATTCATCCATTCACTCATCCATCCATCCACCTAAATATCCATCCATCTATATATCTATCCATCCATCCAGGCATCCATCCATATATATCCATCTATTCATCAATATATCAATCTATCGATATATCCATCCATCCATATATCCATCCATCTATATACTTCAATTCAATTCAATTCAGCTTTATTTGTATAGCGCTTTTACAATGTAGATTGTGTCAAATCAGCTTCACATAAATGGTCATAGTAACTGGAACAGTGTAGTTCAGGTTTTAGTGTTTAAGTTCAGTTCAGATCAGTTTAGCTCAGTTCAGTGTGATTTAAACATTACTGAGAGTAATGTTTACTCATCCTTCCGTATATTCATCCATCCATCCATCAATATATCCATCTATCGATATTTCCATCCATCTATCAATATGTCCATCCATATATCCATCCATCCATCATTCCATATATCAATCCATCCATCTATCTATCCAAGTCAGGAACTACTTAAAGGCGAGTAACTGTTTTCAAGGTTTATTTTTGAGTGACTTTTTACTTCCATTTTAAAGCACCCAACTATTCACCTTCACAAACCAGCATCACATGATTTCTAGTGCATTATCACAATCTAATCTCACAACTTCCTAGACTTGCTTTTAAACAAATGAAGTTTTCCAAGAAATGCTTTTTGTGTCCTGAAGGCACACGCACACAATTTACGAGCACTGTTCTGGATGGAGTAGGCGGTTCAAAAGACCCGAGCTCAGAGGCGACGCACGTTCTGTCAGGTCTACGAAAGTACAGGATTATGTGCTTAACTTAAAATGTAGCTCCAGGTAAAGACTACTGAAAAAGCAGAATTACGCAACTTGAGGAAAGCTGAGAAACGCTAACCAACACTACTTTATTATCTATTCGACAGTGAGAATGGGCTGTAACGCTTGGTGCAGAGGCATTTCTAATGATGGCTTTGTTGGGACTTGTTCGATTAAGATGTAGCGTTAATGCAGGAAAAGGCCCCTCTCTCTCCCTCTCTGACTCTCTCTCTTTCTGTACATTCAGGCAGGGTCAGTCATGGGTCTCCTCCCAGGAGGTTTCTTTCTCTCACTGCCTGTTCTAA